CCCCTGTTGCCTTTGTTGGCCCCTGTTGCCTGTGTTTCCTGTGTTGCCCCCTGTGGCCTGTGTTGCCCCTGTGGCCTCTGTTGGCCCTGTTGCCTATGTTGCTCCTGTTGCCCCCTGTTGTCCCTGTGGCCTATGTTTCCCCCTGTTGCCGCTGTCTGTCTAGTTTATGTTAGTGTCGGCAGCGTTGCAGCACACAGCAGCAGTTTGTTTTGAAGAGACATCAAAGCTACCAGCATGTTGCTGCTGGCGGGCGGCCATGACGGTCTTCATGCCTACGTGATGTTTGTTCGAGTCCTGACAGCGAGATGATGAAGAGATGAAGGGGAGATAAAGATAGAGGACAAACATGCAGATTAAAAGGCAACAGGTATGACTGGTTTGGGTCCAAATAAACAACCACTGGTCAGATGATGTTTCCCAGCAAGCAATGGGGCAATGGCACCTCAGGAACAAACATGATTGGATGTACAGAGAACCAATCATCTGTTACCCAACAGAGTAATGGAATCTGGTGAGAAGCACTACAGCACTGTGATAAAACACTGAGTTGATCTCACTTGATTAAACCCTCTGTCTGCATCCAGTCATAGTGCTGCTAACAAACTCGTGATGGGTTTCTTCTTGATGTCTCGACAGAACATCCTGCTTGAACTTTATACCTCACTTTCAAGGTTCCATATGTCAGATAGTGATCCGTTCCTTTAAATAAGAAGTGGTGTAGTCAGGTGTGTGGTCTGTGTGTGTGAATCAGTGTGTGTGTGATGTGGTGTGTAATTGTGTGAGCGACAGTAACAGGTTGTTGTGTGATTTGTTCTCCTGTGCTGTGGACTGATTCTAAATGGTTAATTGTGGGATGAGGGTAAAGGTTGTACCCTTTAATGTTCCAGAGTGCTTCCTCTCTCCGCTCCCCTAAAAAGTGCAACGTGGGCAAAACTAGCTAACGTTAGCTTATAAATGGAGTCCGCTAACGTCTACAAACGACCGACACCCACCAAGTCCAACACAGAGTCCAAGGAGCTGACTGCAGTTCAGTGAACTGCCACTGGTGGCACTATTAACAATGGTTTAATGAACGTTACATATAGAACCTTCAAAGCAGCCTGCAGCTCTCAGAATGATCCCTCAGAGATCCTCCAGCTGCGTCTTATCAACGCTTGAGTCACAAAAATATCCTGATTTTCCAGGGAGCTGTAAACATCATCGGGCTGAGAGATGCTATCAGAGTGCGATGCTCTGAGCTGAATAGATAGAGATCAGACCGGCACTGTCATGCCTCTTTAAGAAGACAGTACATTTCTATGAGTTGTCCTGCTCCGATAAGACTTCTCACGGCACGAAAAACACCGAGTATCAGCACACTCATAACACACCAACACACATATACAATCCGCAATGACCTGCTGTGTATTAGTGCAGTTTGATAGCTTTTATCTTCTCTTTCATCTTTGTTTCCAAAGTTTTGCTTTTTTGGCTTTGAAGCTGATATGATTTTCATTTCTTTCTGCAGCAGCTATTTGTTTATAGGGGCCCCCTCCTCCCTCCATCCTCCATCATCCATCCATCTTCTGCCTGTTCTCCAGCTGCAGCTCGTTGTGTCAGTGCACGGGGAATTATTTTCAACCTGCGAGTTTATAAAGTTAACACTCACACAACAACCACTGTCTTACTTCTATTTACTAATAATAACAATCTAGGCTGGGGAACTACAGTTCCCATGATGCTTTGGGGGATGTCAACAGGAAGTAGAATGTTGAATGTTTTTGTTTTTACATTTCCTCAATAAAATGTGTATACACACTAGACCTATGTTATATATTGTGTTGAGTTGTGTACTTACATTATCCCAAATGTGTCCGAATAATAAAACAGCTCATGGTCCAGACCAATATACGCCAAGTTTTTACTGATGCTTTTGGTCCAGCAGGGTTGCAGTTTTATTTTCAGGACTGGAGAACAGGCTGCTGCATTTAGCCTTGTTCGCGGTATAATTTAAGAGTCATCGGATCAGTCTGTTGTATTTTTTATGCCATTATTATGTCTCATCAACCATTTAATTTCTTCTTCCAGTGTCTGGGAATGCATTAAAGTAAAATCAATAAATCAATAAATCAATCAGTAAATCTTTGTTGCTGACAGCCAACCAATACATTTTATTACATTTTATACATTGTGTGTGTGCATCAGCAATAAACAACCCGCTGAGCCCCAATATGATATAATAATACAGCAGTGTATATAAACCATTATTTTGTACTATGCAATACATTTATATAAAGTAAATATGTCTAAACTTTGTTCAATTCTTTCTCCATCACCTGTCTCTCACTCCATCTGTCTCTCTCTCTCTCTCTCTCTCTCTGTCTGTCTGTCTGTCTGTCTGTGTCTCTGTTGTTAATCACAACCATGTAGCATCAAATTGAAAACATCCATTAGTGCAGAGCCACATCACAGTGAGGGGATGGATGGATGGAGGGGCAGATGGGGGGGTGGGTATCTCATGTCAGCAGACGGGATGATTTATTTAGGGGAGGAGAAGAAGAAGAACAAGAAGAACAAGGAGTAGAAGAAGAGGGATGAAATGATTTGCGTGTGAAAAAGCAGTGATGTAGATCTGCAGAGAAGAAGCAAAAGGAGATAAAAAGATAAGAAGACAGGATGAGGTGATTGTTGGTGAAAGGATAGAATTACACAGCTCAGGATTATCTGTGCTCAGCTCACCTGGTTTACAGGTGAGAGACAGGTGAGGCGTTGGCTGATGAGCTGAGAGCTGCTGCGACTTCAAAACATCTTTTACCCACAAGTCTGATCTGTGAAAACACATTTAAACATCAGCCAATCAGAGGAGAGTGCTGTCTTTCTAAAAAGGACAGGAAACAAGTTGTTCAGTCGAGGTCACCTGTCAGGACTTCTTTAACAGAATGACCTCAGACATTCCTACAGAAACTTACTGTGTTGTCAGATTAATATAAAATAAGGGTACTGTATTGATTTTAACTATTAGAGCCACAATCCTACAACCAGCAATGCAAACGATGATCTTATGTTGCTGTTGTTCCGTATAAAGAAATAAAGGATCAAAAAAGTTATTACAATTCATCCTGAGGAGAACATGAATGTTTGATGTGTTGGACACTCCCCTTTTGTTGGACACTCCCCTTTTGTTGGACATTCACCTGTTGTTGAACACTCACCTGTTGTTGGACACTCACCTGTTGTTGGACACTCACCTGTTGTTGGACACTCCTGGTGCTTTCAGCTCTAGCACAGATGTGACCTGTGATTCTGGCCTATATCTTGAATCTCATATGCTGACGGTCAGCAGGTACTTTGTATTGGACTCACCTGGTGCTCTCACCTGTCTGGAACAGGTGAAGAATGTCAGCGTGTCATGTCTTATTTGTTATTTCCTGTCCCAGAATGGAGTGGTAAACCAGACTTTTGTTTTTTACATTTAAATAAAACTTTATTGAACACTGTGTGCATCAGTCACAGCGTGTCGGGATCAGAGTGGGTGGTTGAGTCTGTCTGCCAGCCTCTGAACACTGAACATAATTATGTACTGATGGATGATAATGTAAACTGAAGGGAAGGTAACGAGTGAGACGAGGAAAAGGGCAAAAGAAGGAGTGATTTTAATGGAAGGTAGTGAAAGAGAGGAGGAGGAAAGAGGAGTCCGTTTGAGGGTTTTAAAGGTTCACAGTGAGGACAGCAGAGTGACTCCTGTCCCAACGCGTTCTTGTCAAAACATTTATTACTCATATGGACTGAAACCAGCCAACGTCCAAACACCAGCTCTTTGAACTCTGCTGCAGGGTTCTCAATCTGAGGCTCCAGACCCAGGAGGGGATGCAGGTGAACGGTCTTAACACCATAGTGAACAGAGCACTGCTGGAAATCTATTCATTGTGATTCAACCGCTGATGTTTGTTTAACAGATTAACATTTCAGCACAGCAGAATCCGACACTCAGTGAAGTCTCCTGATCTCAGATGTTTGACACAGGAGCTCTGGATCGAGGCTTTTAGCATTTCATAATCTTATCAATAGACACAACGTTGATGATGTGTCCAATGTCACTGTACATTTGTGATAACTGTTACAGTGTGAAGAAACATTTACTGCACATAGATGTGTCATATACAGTGTAAACTCTGTAAACATTTGTTTTGGTTGTATGTGCTGTAAGTGATTACTGCTAGTGATTAGCATTAGAAGCTAACTGGCTAATATAGATGTTGGCAATTAATATTGATGATTAGCGTTACAGAGTAATGCGTGATTGGCAGATTAAAGTGTGGAGCAACCTCAGCAGTTTATCTGGTGTTATTTTATAGAGTTGTGTAGTAGTGTTTTAAAGACAGTGTAAAGAAAGTGTTCTGTGTCACTGAAACTGTGTTAAAGTCAATTATATTGCTAGTAGATGCAGTAAGCTCGTAGAGTTAAACCTATGTCAGTAGAAATGAGTAGGTAACAGGGCTATACCTAAACTACCTAAATCAAGTAGTAAAGGGGTAACACGAGGACTTTAACCTGAATAACATAAATAAGAGAACAATAAGAGTGGAACAGAGTTGTGAAGTACTCATACAGGTGTAACATGTTATTTAGTTTGGGTGCAATCTACACCTTAAATGATTTCTGATATTATGTACTCAGTTTTTACAGTATATTATGAGCAGTTTATGGCAGAATTATATATGGAGATTATTATAGCCCCGTTTACAGATGATAAACAGTTTTGCTGTGTATCATTATAAATATGTTTTGCTGGTAACTCTGTAATTATTGTGTCCAAATGCACTAGTCTGGACCTGACTGGCGCTTTCTAACAACAACAACCTTTTAACTCCAAACATACGTTCAAAGGGATATTAACATATTCAATTTCTCTGGTTTATAAAAAATCATCTTTTTGTTAAACTTGTCAGTATAATTCTAGATTCTGCTTTATTCTCTGTTACATTTAAATAAAAGAGAAAACAAGAGTCTGTACAACAGTTTGTTTAATGTGAGACATTTTGACATATTTTCATCTGACAAATCTCTTCAGTCAAAAACCGTCTGATTCAGTTTGTTCTTTCATTCTGTATGTAGGTCACAACAACAGGTTTACTGACCGTTCAATAAATAACCAAGACAACAGAAACATGGTGATAATCAATGACAGATTCAATGTCATTTCTGAATTCAGTGACTGTAAAATAATATTTGAAGGTCTAATATTTCATGTTTTTAGTCAATCAGATCAGAAAACAGGGAGACTTCTTACTAAAATATGTTCAAATATAAAAGAGAGGACATTAGAAATAAAGACCTGGTTCTTTCTGAGGTAATTTGTGGTTTAATATTATTTCAAAATAACCGAGTCCTGAGCATGAATGTTTATACTTGGCTATGGAAACAACATTTGAAAAAAATTGTAAATTTGGCCAATTGTGATTTATGATTTTGGTGGATATAAATAAATTTTGACTTGACTTGTGTTAAAGCTTCAGCCACATCTCATGGCCTTCTTCAGCAAACGGTGTTCCACATTTGCAAATAGGGATAGTTTAGTTTGTTATCACGTGACCCAATGCACCTCAATTCTGAGAACCCTAAAATAAGTGATGCATCTCAGTTCTGGGGGACTCTGAGCAGAGTGATAGACCTTACTCCTGGGGACTCTTAAGGTAGTGACACACCTCACACTGGGGGACTCTAAAGGGAGTGACATACATCACTTCTGAGGACTCTAAAGGGAGTGACACACATCACTTCTGAGGACCCCCAAGGGAGTGACACACATCACTTCTGGGGACTCTAAAGGGGGTGACACACATCACTTCTGAGGACTCTAAAGGGAGTGACACACCTCACTCCGGGGGACTCTAAATGTAGTGTCAACTCACTCACATGATAACCTGTAAAGATTCTACCCCAAATATGACACCTGTACTGAAATCCCAGACTTCATTTGACAACAGACAAAACCATGAAATGCCAATTGTAACTCTTTGGAAGGCCATAAGATCTGCCTGAAAGTTCCAGAAACACCAAGTGTATGGGTCTTGTGTTAAGGTATTAGGCCCAACCGAACTCTTTCGAGATACCATTTTGACATTAAATTTAATTTCAGTTAATTTACTTTCTATCCTGAAAGCGGTGCTCGAGGAAGACTGGAGCTGGAGTCTCTGAGCTGGAAAAGGATCTTCTTCAGAAACATAAAAGTACTCCATTCTTGTCTTCAGAAAGTTTCTCCTCGACCAAAGTTTTGGTACAGTTCGAGTTTAGTCCTAATAATCCACGTCCTCTCAACTGCATCCAGTAGTTCAGCGGTAGTTCAATATGTCATTCAGTAGTTATTGTATGACACAGTTTGTAGTAGACTAAGTATCTGTTAGGGCAGTAGCAATAGTTTCTCTCATTGTAGTAGCTGTAGTATCAGTAGTCCCAGCAATGAAGGTAATGCTGTATCATCAGTCATCATAGTAGTACATGTGGGGTAGCAGTAGTCGTGGTATCGGCTGTGAGGGTAGTGCTGCATCACTATTAGCATAGCTGTACATGTTGGGGTAAGCATGGTGGTAGTTGTGGTAACCGTAGTTGTGGTAGCAGAAGCCATGGTAACGGTGGTGGGGGTAGTGCTGTGTCAGTAGTCATCGTAGCGGTACGTGTTGGGGTAGGCGTAGCGGTAGTCGTACCCGTCGGCTCGCTCTGTTTTGGTCTGCAGGGGTTCGGGCTGAAATGACAGAGACTTGATGACTCCACCTGACTCCTCCGTCACTTTTACCTCAGTGGAGTACGAGGAAGAGGAGGCGTCATCCATCAGGGAAGAGCAGCCTGGAAGACCAGGAGGTTTTGGGGGTGCACAGGGCTGGTAGGACTGGAGGCCAGCAGGAGGTTTAGGACATGATTGATAAGAAGGGAGGGCTGCAGGAGGCTTTGGACAGGGCTGATAAGAGACCTGAGGAGGAGTACTGGTATTAATGTGACAGTTCAACCACCTGCTTCTTAGTTACTGCTGCCTGTCCAACTCTCCAATATACACATACACATACAATACAATGACAACAGAAGTTATTTCCCATTAAAGATTACTACGGTAAGTAACTGGAATTGTCCAACTCCAGATCTCACAGATTGGGGGCCAATGAGAAGAGAATATGATGTGTGAGGTCTGACTTTCTTTAGGATGCCCAGTTTTCCCCAACCTCCCTCCTGGGAACCTTGGAAGAAGAGACACACCTGTGGAATGTAATAGAAGCGACACGCCTCTCACTTAGTTACTCTAAAGAAGTGACACACTTGACTTATGGGAAACCTAGAGGAAGTGACACACCTGACTTCTAGTGACCTTCTTACTGACGCACAGTCCTCAGCCCCTAAATCTAAGCTCAGTTCTCTGCAGTTAGACCCTTCTGAACTCTGCTCACCTTGGTTGTCGTAGTGATGATGGTTTGCAGCGCTGCAGGGGACCCTGGGGTGTTGCTGGGGTACCGGCAGGGGTACTCTGCGCTGTAGTAATGATGGTTGTCACCATAGGGGGCAGAGCTCTTCAGCAGATCCTTCCAGCCTGCAGGAGGCTTCGTCTGAGGGTCGAAGGAGGAGGGGGAGGAGAGAGGAGCCGACGATGAAGTGGAGGAAGAAGAGGAACCCAGGACCGGGGCCACCCTGCACATAAACAAGGATCTAGTTTAGACCTGTTTAGACTGTCTATTAGTGGTTGCATTACCATAATCTGTAATCTGGGTTAAACCTGTTAAAAGTCTAGGATTATGTCCAGGATCTAAACTGGTTCAGAATCTGGTTTACAACTGTTTACATTGCCAGGATATAGACTCTGGATCAGTCTGTTTGAGGCTGACCTGGGGTCACAGAGGTCAGAGGTCATGGGATACGAAGGTGAGGCGAGGTATCCTTGGAATTCATAGCCAGGCCGGCCCATGTAAAGCCTGGGATTGGTTGGTTTTTGAAGTGCAGGCGAAGTATCCCCTAGTGCATTATGGGGGTTGTAGTAGGGGTCTGGGCTTTGGAATGCTGGGTAATGCTGTGGGAAATTTGGCTCGATGAAGGAGATTCTGTCTGATGGATCGACACAGGAGAGGAGGGCGGGGCCCAGAGCCTGAAACAGTAAACAACAACAACAATTAAACAAACAACAAACAACACCAACATTAACAAACAGCTGTTTTTATTTGTTGTTGGCGACCTGTGTTTCGATGAGTCGTCTCTTGGGTGTGAACGGTGGCGAACCCACTCGTCTCTTCACTGAACTTCTTCTGGCTTCAGTCTCTGACTTGGACTCTGGTCTGGGATGATCATGGACCCCTTTGGCCTGAAGGACGACATCAACAGTAAACAGACTATCAGGATCAGGCTTAGACTCAGTAAGACCTTCAGAATCTGGTTTAAACCCGTCAATACCTTTTTTAGTGTGTTTATGATTTCAAGATCTGGTTTAAATCCAGGATTTGGTTTAAACCTGTCACACTGATAGAATCTGGTTTAAACGTTTGAAGATGATGGTTCAAGATTGGTTTAGACCTGTTTATACTGCAAGATCATATTAAAACTGCTCAGACTGTTATACACATATTTAGATGTCCAGGATCTGGTTTTTACTCAATGACACTGTCAGGATTTGCTTTAGCCCTGTTAGATTGTCAGGATCTGGTTTAAACATGTTTACATTGTTAGGATCTCGTCAAGACCCATTTAGTCTGCCAGTACATTTGAAACTTTTACTTCTTTTAGGATGCAGTTTAGATCAATTTAGACCTGTTTACAAGGCCAGGATCTGGTTTAAACCCATTATACATCCGGGACCCTATTCACAGTGTCAGAATTTAGATTAGCCCTGTTCAGACTGTCAAGATCTCGTTTAAATATTGTTATGGGAGTAGAATCTGATTTAGACCCTTTTTTGATTCCCCAGATCCAGTTTGAACCTGTTCAGACAGTTTGAACCTGTTGTTACGGAAATGCTTGAACTTTAACGGTGTGTTCTTACCAAACGCATAAAGAAATTGTCATCTTGATTTTCTGACTGTTTTTGCTTCTAAATATGCTGCATTATTAAGCCTCTTAGCTTTACCCATGATAGTTTTTGTGTGTTTGTTGTCTGAGGTGATGAATCAGTAGAGGGTAAAGGTGGTGACCTGGAAGAAGATGGCCTTTCCGTCGACTCTCCAGAAGTTTGTGACGGGGTAACCGCTGTGGCCACGACACGGTAGCAACTCCAGGGTGGCGTTACAGCTCGGACACAGCTTCTCTGAAATGCAGAGTCCAGTCAGGTAAACATGGACACACACCAGTGGACCATTAACAGGTTGTGGTTTGTCTTACTCTGCTGTTTCTGCCGGGCTTTGTCACAGATGGCAGGGCGGAGCTGTAGTCTGGACCCGTCGGGCAGCGTGCAGCCTCGAGAACAGACCACCACGCCTAGACATGATTTCTTCAGGATCTGACAGTTGTGGTTGTTGGTGTTTCTCATCGCCCAGCCAGAGAGATGTCTCTGAGCGTTCTTATCATCAGCTAAAAACAAAGTAACAGTTAGCTGTAAGAGTTAGGAAGCATCTCGGACTGGTCCCAGACAAAATTAGTTGAAACTACCACATTAGCCTGATGTCTCTGAGTGTTCATGTTTTCAGATACAAAACAACCAGCTAGCTGACACAAATGACTTGCTATAACAGCAAGGTGTGACTAAAGTGATGCTCTCAAGATTGACACAAGGAAAACGGAAGTTGTTTTTTGTTCACCATGTGACTTTCATAAACTTCCTACTGTTATCCATAATGAAAGAATGACACCTTAAGTCTTTCAGGGCGAGTAGACATAAACTTCTTTTGTTTTTTCCTTCTGTGATTATGGGTGTTCTGCAGTATTGTGACCTGGTACAAATGTTTGTCCACTACTTTAACATTAAAACTGCTCCACCAAATAACAATCTGCTCAAAGATTGTCAACCAGCTCCTTGAGAAACTCTATGAACCAGCCTACCATAATAATATATTATGGCTGGCTAACAACATTGTCTCTGACCTCAACTACGTCCTGAACAGGGAATACAAGTTATTACTATCACACTGGAGATACAGGGTTTTACGAGGGTAAAGTGCTCCTTTGTGCAGTTGTCAATCCTAAAATTAAATATGCAGCTTAATAATAATAATAATGGAGTTGCTGTGATGCAAAAACATTTTAGGCTTGATCTGCCAATAAATTATCATCATCAACTTCAGCTGGGAAACAAATAACATTTTCCGAGGCAGGACGAACATCATCACGCATGAATACAGTTGGACTCATTGGAGCCACAACAGTCTCAGCTTTCCAGTCAATTTACACACTAATACACTTTACACACTAATACACTTTAACACTGTTTATGGACCGCAGTTAGCAGAAATATCCAAATACACTATAGGACAAGATAACACATTTATACTTATACTGTTAATAGTGTCTGTAAAGGACAAACTGATGGGTACCCATAGTATGGCACCCATATTGGTATCCATATTTGACAATAACCAGTTTTTCCATCGCCAATATTTAACCTAACACTGGATAGCTCCATTCTCAACAGGCTAGCATGCTTTTACTGATCCTAGCTTGACCTTTAAAATCCTCCAACATAAAAAGACAAAATCCTTTCAAACTGGGGGTCTGTTACGCTGCTTTACAGAAGCATTAATAACCATAATTTATAACCACAGTGACCACTAAGCATATTAATGCTTGAATGTGTGTAAGCTTCTCACCGCTGTAGATGAACCGAACATAACCGTCTGTCCACTCCTGGAACGGGTCGAACTGCTTTGTGTCCTGCAGACAAAAAAGACAGTCAGAGAGAGAGACAGACAGGTTGGTCAGCTGACCCCTAAACACTAAATTAAGAACCGCAGAGATGAAAAGTCCGACAGCTGAAAACCGATTCTGCTGTTTCAGTTCGGATTACATCCACATCCTGAAATAACGACGTGATTTTAATCTGTTCACTCAGCTCAATTTTGTTTTGTGTGAAAATATTCAAACAACTGATCCGAGTTCAGTTTCATAGGCTGAGGAAGAATATATCTTCTCTTTACATTCTCCTGTGAAGGAGAACAAAGGGCTGAGGGCAGAATGCAGAAATCATCCTCACATTGTACATTTACCTTAAGACTTAGCAGTGGAGGTTCATATGTTACTGAGGTCATTTGGTTTATGAAGTTAATTTAGAACAAAGTTTCAAATGTTTCTGACTGTTAAACACAAAAATGTCATTCTCAAAGTGAATTTGAACCGACTACTTCTTCTACCCACAGCTTTTAATATCATAGCCCTGTATATATAATATATATATATATATATATTCTTCACAAACACAATATATTAGTAACAATATCATGAATAAATGTAACAATAATAATGTTCATAATGTTAAAATAACAACAGTACTCAACTGATTGGCAGTATGTCGGTCTACCTGTAGTAATTCAGTGTTAAAAGAATAACAGTTATATATAGTCCTACCTGTTGTTATTTTTATATTAAAATACTACTATTAAAGGACTACATATTACTGTTACTATGATGTTATCATCTAGGTTTGGGAAATATCCGATGTCTGTTTATATTTGAGAGAAACTAAATGAGGAGGTCTGATAGAAGTTCTGCATTTAATTTTTACTACATTTATCTGACAGCTTCAAATGAAAATAAAAACTGTATCATATGTTATAATAAATGAAACTAGCAGTACAGCTGAAACCATTAGTCCATTAATTAATCAGTCCATTGACAAAAAAATCAATGAAGATAAAACACAAGTTTTTATCTGGCAGTGAAACAGTGAATAAGCATATCATCTAGCTTCGTATCAAGTAAACGTTCTTCAGGCGTGTTTAAAGACTAGGGTTGATTGAATATGAAAAAGATGATTAATATATAAATCCCCAAATTTAAACATTCTGTCAAACCTATCTTTAACAGAAAACACGACGCTTTTACGTTGGTACTGCGTGGTGTGTGTGTGTGTGTGTTTGATAAAGATATTGATCAGCGTGAGAGCTGACTCTGGATCAGCTGTTCAACCTAACAAACTGTTCTGGTTTCACTGAAAACAAAAATATAAAAACCAGTTTTTACTGTTTGAGCAACAACAGAGTGAAGAGTCGAGTCAGCGGCTTCACAGACACACAAACACACACACACACACACACACACATACACAACCTTCAGGTAACCTTCAGTCTGACACACAGAATAAATTTGTAACATTTATTAACATATTTTATTTAATCAGCTGATTTTATGAACAGTTTTGTTACCTGATCAGGAATTTTGTCATTAAATTCGCAGACTACTAAAGTGATATCTTTATTTATTTTTTACAGTAACGATCAGCTGATTTTTTTACTGTTTGAATGAACTAAATCAGCTCAGAACCAAACTCAACAGTAAACCTATTGTCTGTAAAAAGCATTTATTAAAAGTCATTAAATCTCTTGATTATAACAATCCCAGTGCTAAACTCTTCATCTTTAACATTATTATTTCTTTATTTTTATTTTACTTACCAATTAATCCGTTTTTATTGTTCTAAATTTTACAACCCTAAAATGACCATGAATCCTTTTTGTACAGCCGACGGTGGAGAAGAAAATATCCCTGAACTCTACAATGAATCCGACACTGTTGAGACATTTTGTGATTTTCTTAAACACTCTCAAAGTTGTACAGAGTTTGGTTGGAGGCTGAAATCCATAATTTCTTAAGTGGAGATTGACTGGACTCATAAAATCCTGACTTTAACGAACTCTCAAACATTTAGGTCAGAATTAAAGGAGATATATTTGGACATAATTTATATGAGAATTTGGAGGTTTAGTGAGATTAAAAGGAGGTGATATTATACCGGCTGATTGTGACTAGATGCCTAAAGAAATGAATGATTTACTGGAAGCAAAAAATAGTAATAAAAATGAATGAATTCATATAAAGATCGTCTGGAGGAGGACGATCTAAAACACAACTGATGAGTTTACAGGAAATGTGACTCAAAGGTTGAATTAAAAAATTAAACATGAAATGTTCAGATTTCTTTGAATAGTCAAAAAAATGTACAGAGTTTGGTGCATCGTTTCTCAGGATGAGTCCTGCGGTATTTCCTGTAATACTCCAGATGTAATAAAACCAATTAATAGAATCAATTAAATATGACTTTATGGAGTTTGGTTGGAGTGTACAATCCGTCGTTTCTCATGTGGAGTTCTGCTGGATCTCTAAATTCTGATTATGAAAAAAAATGACTTCATATAAAAAGTACGTTTTAATATTTAACACTAAATCTGTCTGTAGAAAAACCTTATTGGTACGTGGACAATGTTTTTATTAACATATGAGCACACGTGTTTAATAAACATATTTGACAAAGCTGATCAATAATGAAACCTGATTGGACACAGAAGGAGTTTATATATATTTATAAGGAGTTTTCTGATTATAGACTCTGGTATTCTTATCTGAAGTTCTCAGAGAAAGCCTCCAACCAAACTCTGAACAACTTCTCACATATTTAACATTTATTTGTTCACTTTAAAGTAAATTTAATATCTTGAATCTGGATATTGAAATCTTTCTCTGACACACCAAGTCTATCTCCTAAAATAAACAATAACAATAAAATTATAAAAGATATTAGGGATGACAGCCACCAACCAAACTCTATACAATTTATATAACATTTCATTTATTTTCTCTAAATGTTATTTTTCTGCATTGTGTTCTTCCCTCTCTGGAGTGTAAATAAAAATCATTTAAATCAGTAAATTTAAAAACCGGCCTGCGTGTAAACTCCTCTTCCTCCCATAGAACTGACAAAGTACGGCCTCCAACCAAACTCTGTACAGTTTTTGGACTATTTAAGAGCTGTTATTAGCTGTATTTTATATATATTATAATAAATATTAATATTCCTGCTCTGAATTAAAGACAATGTGAACATTAAGATGTTGGACAACTTCCTCCAAACAAACTCTGTCTCCGTCTCTCACCGGGATCCAAAGCAAATTATTGATTATTAATTAAATCAAATTATTTTTTCTCCATCGATCAGTCTGATTGATATGTCACTAATCGATGGGTTTATTGATATTTTGAAGGAAGAAAATGATGAACAGGATCTGGATTGGGATTAAAAACGGATCTGGAATCAGTTTAGAGACTCATTGATTATCTGGTTTCCCGCCTCTGGCTGTCTGTATCGATCAGTTATTGATCAGTTCGGTACCTGCGGCAGTTTGGGGTCGTTGATGTCCCACGTGAACTTCATCCCGACCGAACACACACAGTCCGCCTCCTCACGCTCCTCCGCCCGGGACATCCTCCTGGTCCTGGGTCCTGGTTTTGATCCCGGTCCCGGTCAGTCCTCCTGATGGTTCTGATCTGGATCCTCCAGGTTCAGACTCACAGTAGAAGCGGACTCCGGTCACTCAGCACTCTGTGAACTTAA